CCCAACCTTGCTTTCTATGCTGATCCGATGACTGCAAATATCTTCTTCACCACCACCCCCCGCCCAGGGATCCACAAAGCGAGCCCCAGACTCATATAATCTCAAACTGCATATGATGTATGAAAAAGTAGAAGTAGAAGTTTTCTTCAGTTTTCTGGAATTCGAAGGGATCAGTTTGTGCAACAAGGCAGATCCTCCTCATTGAGGCAGAGAAAACTGCACCCTCAGACATGACCCAGTGAAGGAAGAGGACAGGAGCAGGGTGGTTGGGGAAGTCTCCTTAAGGTTAAACGTTACTGCCTGAGATTGGGGCCCAGATAGCAGGCAGTTAACTACAGCAACCTCCAGCCACAGGCCTGGCCCTGGTGAACCTCCCTGCTTCCCCTCTGCTGCTTCTCTGCGTGGCCAAGCTATTTCAGAGGCAGGCCTTAGATCTATGGGGCCTGGGTCCCCTGTGAACAACAGCTGGCACCCACCCTCCAACTCTTCTATAAGTGGCTTTGGGGCCTTGACCCAGCTGGTGGTGAGGGGATGGGGTAATGTCAAAGAGCAGAACAGAGCTCAATCAGAATGTGTTACTTCTCTCCTAACCCTGACCTCTGAGGTCTCAGGAAGTGACCCCTCCCTAAACATCGTGGACAACCCCCTCCCAGCCAGTTCTTGCACAGGACTGCTGACAAGTGTCCTCTTTTATTGTGCCAAGGAATGGTTCCCTTCAGGAGATGTTTACCCTCTCCTCCACTCCAGCAGCCTTTTCCATTTCCATCCCCCCAAACAAACATGCAAAATGAGTAAAAGCAAGGTACTTGCTATGGAAACAGTAAATGCCCCACATTATCACCCCTAAACTGCTTAAAGATAGACATTCTGGGCCATATCCTAAGTGTCAGGCACTGTGTTAGGCACTGACCATGTAAGGAAAAAGGAAGTAGAATGTTACATCTAGATGCTCCAAGATCTCCAAACACTTAATGCATCTTTATGTGCCATTTCTGGGGAAGCTGAGGAACAGACTATGAGGGAGGACCTATTCTGGGACTCAGCAGCTGGCCTCAAGATTAGGACCCAAGAAGTGAAAGTGTATCCTGGGCTCTGTGCCCATAGCTCAGTGGCTAGGGCGCCAGCCACATACACTAGGGCTGGTGGGTTTGAACTCGGCCCCGCCTGCCAAACAACAATAACAACTACAGCAAAAAAATATCTGGGTGTTGTGGTTGGCACCTATAGTCCTAGTTACTTGGGAGTCTGAGGCAAGAGAATTGCTTAAGCCCAAGAGTTTGAGGTTGCTGTGAGCTGTGACACCACAGCACCCTACTGAGGGCAACATAGTGAGACTGTCTCAAAAAGAAAGAAAAGAAACTGTATCCTGCAAAGCCCTGAAGCTGAGGGTCAGTGCAGAATCAGGTCATGTATGTACCCCAAAAGTTTTATGCTGGGATCCAGGAAAAGGATGGGTAATAGCTTCACTTTAGGAACTTATTGACTATTAATTTTCCACTTTTTTTTTAGATCTCTGCCTCCATCTCCATCCTAATCACCCTATCCAGGAGGGCAAAGACCTAGGACCTACAGGCGACATTGGAGGAAGGCCATGGTGATGGCTTCTCCAGGGGAACCAGTGATGCTATACGTATGGCCCAGTTTAGAAGGCAGATCATGAAGTCTTCCCCTTCTAGAAATTAAGAACTGGGGGAGACCCAGATCCTTACCTATCCAGCCTAGGTGGGAACCAGGAAGGTAAGGGGTATAACTCTTCACATGGAAAATGCAACATGGACAGAAAATGTCATGTGCAAGCCATCCACACAGAACTCTGCACTGCAGATGATAAGTGAAAAAGTAGGTGACATCCAGGAAGAATACCTTTCCCTACCCTGGCCCCATTTCCCAAGGAGAAGGGACATCATCACTGGATTACTATTCTCTCTCCCTTCTCCTTACCTCCAAAAAGGAATATTTAAGTCTCACATTGTTTATTCAACTTTCTGCTGAGTTTTCAACCCATCAGTTAACCTTCACCTCAGGAAGCAAGTTCCTTAAGTCTCCAGCCCTTGGAAAGAGGGCCCCTGTATCCACTTGTCCTGTTTCCATGTCCCACCTCCTGGATGGATTGTGCTCTCCTGGATCCTGTGATAACATCTATGGCTGGTATTTGTGAAACTCTTAGCCTGAGCAGGGCATTGTGTTAAACAGTTAAAGTATATTATGTCATTTCATCCTTATAACAGCTCCAATAGTATTATTGTTCCTATTTTTCAGATGATGAAACTGAAGTGAGATTAGCACCAAAGTTGTTCTCTAACCCCTGAAGAGACTTGCTGTTCTAGAGAGGCCTCTCATATACAGATCTGACCTGGGGCTCACCTGGCTTACATCCTGTAGTGGCTCCTCAGAGACCACAGAATTCTTTTTTTTTTTTTGAGACAGAGCCTCAAGCTGTCACCCTAGATAGAGTGCTATGGCATCATAGCTCACAGCAACCTCCAATTCCTGGGCTCAAGCGATTCTCCTGACTCTGCCTCCCAAGTTGCTGGGACTACAGGCACCTGCCACAATGCCCAGCTATAGAGACCACAGAATTCTGCCCAAACCCCTTCCCCCACTCAGCCTGGCTTTCCAAACTGGCCCTTTTCTTCCCTACAACCCCAGGCCCTGCTAACCAACAGCACCTAATGCTGGCAGTTCCCTCAGACACCACAAGGCTCCCTTTCAGATTTCCAGGGCTTTCATAGACTGTTCTTTCTGCCTAGAAGGGCTTTAATCAAGCTCACCTCATGAACTCTTCATTGACGTCCAAGAGCTTCTACCACCAATACTCTGCCACTCCCAGCCTGAGTTTGAGCCATACCTACAGGGCCACCACTAGCCTTTGTGCAAATTACAAAAAGATACACCCTTTTGGCAGATATAGGAAACCACAAAAGTTACAAACTACTTTTCAGCTTTCCTAGCTCTCTTTGCTAGGTGTCTTTTTCTAGCACATGCACAGAACTACACACTGTGGGCTGGCTTTGGGCCTCTCATCTGTTCGCTCTTATGGACGCAGTGACCACACTGCATAGACATGGCTTTTATTTGCTTATCTTTTTTTTTTTTTTGGAGACAGAGCCTCAAGCTGTCCCCCTGGGTAGAGTGTCATGGCATTTCAGCTCACAACAACCTCCAACTCCTGGGCTCAAGCGAGTCTCCTGCCTCCACCTCCCAAGTAGCTGGGACCACAGGGCGCCCGCCACAACGCCCGGCCATTTTTTGGTTGCAGCCGTCATTGTTGTTTGGCGGGTCCAGGCTGGGGATTCGAACCCACCACCTTAGGTGTACGTGGCTGGCGCCTTAGCCGGTTGAGCTATAGGCGCCGAGCCATTATTTGCTTATCTTACTACTCATCTCTTCACTACCACCATGAAAATTCGTTTTTGTTTTTTTTTTTTTCCAGTTTTGGCTGGGGCCAGGCTTGAATCTGCCACCTGCAGTATATGGGGCCAGCGCCCTACTTGAGCCACAGGTGCCATCCAACCACCATGAAAATTCTTTGAGGGTAAGGAAGAGTCTCCTACCTGTCCTGAACCTGAAGCTTGGACTCTAAGGATGAACCAGTAATAAAAATTGCAGCCAGGCTTGGCACCTATAGCTCAAGTAGCTAAGGCGCCAACCACATACACCAGAGCTGGTGGATTTGAATCCAGCCTGGGCCTGCCAAACAACAATGACAACTACAACCAAAAAATAGCCGGGCATTGTGATGGGTACCTGTAGTCCCAGCTGCAAGAGAATCACTTAGGAATTGGAGGTTGCTGTGAGCTGTGGTGCCACAGCACTCTACCCAGGGCAACAGCTTGAGGTTCTGTCCCCCCACACATCCCCAAAAAATTGCAGCCAGGTGCAATGGCTCACACCCGTAATCCCAAAACTTGGAAGGCTGAGGCAGATGGATTGCCTGAGCTCACAGGTTCAAGACCAAGCCAGAGTGAGACCTCATCTCTAAAAAATAGCTGGGCATTGTGGTGGTCACCTGTAGTCCCAGCTACTTGGGAGGCTGAGGCAAGAGAATTGCTTAA